CCCCCCGTCCTCTCTCAACCCCTTCCCCCTCCGCCTGGATAATCAACCCTTCTGTTCCTTCTGATCTACGGTGAAGCCAGTCACAACGGGGATAGCCGCCGGGGGTGACCTCCGCTCCCCTGTCGAGCCGAGCCGAGCCAGCCCCCGGGGCTGGGCCGGGCCGCGCCGGGCCGCGCTGGGCCGCAAGGACGTATAGGAAGCCTAAGTCGGCCTAAGGCCATCCGCGCAACTCATCACCATAATGGTTCAGAGGGGATAATATCCACGGCGCAACGGCGCAACGCGGGCCGCCCTCGCGCCGCCCCCGCCGCGCCGCCTCCGTGCTGCCCCCGCTAGTTCTGGGGGCGGGACGTTTAGAAACACTAGAGTCTTCTGCGACACCATTCCCCTTATCCTAAAACAAAAGTAAGAGTCACCATCATTCATAGCAACGCCCATTTTCACCATAAATACAATGTCTGCTTTTTTTGTGAAAAGTCAGGCAAAGGGATTTTTTTCTATTAAACTCCCAAAATTTTGGGAAAAGTCCTCAACTTTTGTGGATACTTTATCCCCCAAAATAAGGGAAATTTAGACATTTTTAGAGTCTATCTTAAAATCGGAGAAATTTTAGATTGCTTAAAGTTTTCCGCTTTTCCCCCTAGAAATTAGCTTTTACCGTGTTGCTGGAGGAGCCTTGGCGCGGGGCCTCATACGGCCGGGCGCACCGCGATGACTGCTGCACACGTTAATATGCATGCCCCGCCGGGTGATATTCATATGCTGCCCTGGCGGCGTACAGCGTGTAGCGTGTAACGAGTAGCTTGTACGGCGTGTACGGCGCCGTGTAGCCAGGCTGCCCTATTGATTTATTAGCGTCTTAGGGGAGCACACCCGTGCTCCTCCCCCTCCCCTATCTTTCTCTCCCTCTCTCTCCATCCATCTCGCTCGCGCGCACTTATTCTCTCTCTCCCTCACTCCCCCCCTTCCTCCCTCCCTCCCTCTCTCCCTCTCTCCCTCTCTCCCTCCAAAAAGGAGGGCCCCCTTGGGGTGGAGTGTGACGCCCCCCGACCCCTGGGAGGGGGAAGAGGGGGTCGGGCCTTACCCCGCGGGGTGTGTGCCCCTATTACAATGCTATAAATCGTCACCAAACACTCCGTCCCCCCCCCCCCCCTCCCCCTTTCCCGCACCGTA